GCAACAACGGTTGCGCAATCACAATCGACGTTTACAGGATATTTGAAATGTTTAATTTTGAACATTTTAAGAGTATTGCATTAGAATAGGAATAACAATACTGTATTTGAAGAGTTGTCGCCGTCAATTTTGGATTTTACGATGGCAACTCTTCACAGACAGTACTGTTATTCCGTAATTGAAAAAGGTAAGTTGGTAGGTAAAATAATTACATTGACTTTTAAGGGAAATGACCTGGACTTAAATGGTGCTTACCCAAAAATGTCCATAAAATGTGTATATATTATGAACGTAATTGGCTGGGTTGTAGAATTTTAAAGGAGGAAATTTCTTGTCATGTAAACATTATTTTTTTCATTTGTTCCAAAATGTATGATACATATGTTGCGGAATCAAGGTTATAATTATTGATTTTAGCATATGTTTAATTCATTTCAGCATATAGTAAATTCATTTTAGGATATGCCTAATTCATTTCAGTATATGGTAACTTCATTTTAGCATATGCTTCATTCATTTCAGCATATGGTAACTTCATTTTAGCATATGCTTAATTCATTTCAGCATATGGTAAATTGATTTTAGCATTTGCTCATTTCAATATTTATGACCTTGATTCCGCGTCAATATTTCTGTTCATGCTGAGATGAATTTAGCATATGCTGAAATGAATTTATCATTATGTTGAAATACAATTGGTAGGGAGTTTTGGCATTCAACTGATACCACTTGAAGAGCTCTTGATTGTTTGATTTTTTTAACGCCTTTTTCAGCAATCAGTTTTTATTGATGGAGGAAGCCGGAGAACCCGGGGAAAAAACAACGTCATTGTCAATTAAGATCGGAGTTGAACAACCCTCGCCACGAGCGGGGTTCTAACTAACAACTTCGCAACTAACAAGCTATAGTTCACTGTAAACGACTTCTTAGTCTTCTTGGGTACTGAGATACTCTTTATGTGATAATTTTTTATTATATATAAAAATAAGAAGATGTGGTATGATTGCCAATGAGACAACTCTCCACCAGAGACCAAGTGACATAGAAGTTAACAACTATAGGTCACCATACGGCCTTCAACAATGAGCAAAATCCATACCCCATAGTCAGCTATAATAGGTCCCGAAATGACAAATGAAAAACAATTCAAACGAGAAAACTAATGGCCTGATTCATATTCAAAACAATGAACGAAAAACAAGTACGATATACAGCAACAAACGACAACCACTGAATTACAGGCTCCTGACTTTGGACAGGCACATACAGAATGTGGCGGGGTTAAACTAGTTTGCTGGCGCCAAACCCTTCCTCTAGCCTGGGACAGCACTAGTGTAACAGTACAACATTAGAACAAACTATAACAATCAGTTCAAAAGGGCTTAACTCATCAGATCGATACAAAGCAGAAAAACATCTAACAAAAACACAGACTGGACGTGGCAGGGTATTTATACATCTCCACAACAACAAAGACACTACGTACAGATTTAAGAGTACTCGCAGTTACTGACAACTAGTTCAAAGCCAATACACTATCACATACAATATACATTTGAAATGTAAAAGTGACTCAACTGCATTTTTTTTTTTTATTTTTCAAATGTCAAGAAACACTTTATTTTGAAATAAAATTATTCCCTAGCGCATATACAGTTTTCTGCAAATGAATTTACATAATTATTTGATATTGTTTATCGATCAATGTTATTATTGATGACTGATCTGGACCTTTCAGAATTGATAAGCGATACATTTTACAAAACCTGTAAAAAAAACCTGGTAGCTTATAGTCTGTTCATTGTATAACCATGTGTCAAATATGTTACTTTCCGACTTTGAATTAATTTGGAAGTTCTATTTTAAACATGTATAACAGTTATAATACATTTAGTCTTTATAAACAGTAAATAATCTGACAGTTATATTGATTTTGTAACGCCACATGTGGAGCAGGATCTGCCCACCCTTCTAGAGCACCTAAGATTAACCCCGGTTTTTGGTGGGATTCGTGTTGCTCAGTCTTAAGTTTTCTATATTGAGTTTTCGTCGACAATTGTTTTTTTGTTTGTTTTTTTTCTCTCTTTGCAATGGCGTTGTTAGTTTGTATTCAACTTATTAGTTAGAATATTCCTTTCGTTTCTTCTGCCTCTCTTTCACAAGGATCGACTCTGGTTATTTTAGAATAAACTCCGATCGGGATCTCGTTCAGACCAGTATTAAAGAAGCTGTCGATTATGAAGGTGGTAGGATATAACTTAGAAATCACTTCAGTAGGGAGGTTCACGCGACCGGGGTTATTTGGTTGATAAACAAATGTGGTTATTTGCAAAAAGTGTGTGAGGTCTGGATGGGGTTTACAGAATAGAGAATAATGGACAAAAAGTGCAGTGTAAATGGCTAAAAAAAATAATAGAGAAAAATAGGCCAAATAAAAGAAGAATGTGTCTGAGGACACAAATTCCCCCGTTCAAGCTTCAAACAAACGCAAATGGGACGGACGGACTGAAAGACGGACGAACAGAAAGATGGAAGGACGGACGGTCAAGGGTAATACTAAAAAATAAAGAATGGAGAATAATGGGCAAAATAAATAGAGAATACATGTAGAGAAAAATTGTCTAAACAATTAAAGAATAAAGAATTCAGTGACCCCCATCCAGACCTCGTGTAACAAACCAAATCAGTATAAGCACATGTAAGTTTCTCTCTCACAAAATCATGTTTACATATCATATTGATAGGAGTAGCAGCAATCGGTCCACTAACAAACCAATGGGAATACACCTAGATAATAGATTTTTGTTTTAAGCAAAATACGTATGATATGAATATTAAGAAATGTGTCAACCCGGTACCTTCTACCATTCTCAATGTCACCTAAATTTTCTCCTATAATAAACTTTAACTGGTTAGACTCCATGAGATTTCTGGAAAAAATCTTGGGGTGTAAAACTGATTAAAACACTCTATTAATGTTGAAAATCAGAAAAAAAAATTGGGTTTTAAATTAACTGATTCGACCCCAAGATATTTTCTGGAAAATCAAACATATGCAAATTATATGTAAATAAGTTGACTCTCGATACTGTAACTGATAACTGATCTTGATCTATTATATTAAACTATGTATTGAAAATTGAGGGTTGATGGCATGGTGGGGGGGGGATAGTAGATTTTCTGGTGGGTTACCTACCCTGGCTGAAAAATTGTCATTTTTAGTCTATTTTTCGCTTCAAATACGACCTAGAGAGGTGAAAATTGACCAAAGTGTGTTTCTTTGTCATTTAATTATTACATTGTAGTAAAGCAGTCCATCCATACTGACTGGAAGTAAATGTGACTTGATTGTCTTTCTGGGGAATTGTAATGGTCAAGACAGGTCTGCCTCCGTTTTAACAGATTTCTGACAAAACAGTAACCTAGTTTTTACAGACCAGATTTTGTTTTGGCTGTATAATACATCCTTGTGTTCCTGAACTTCCTATGCATGTATTTAGGATAATAGTTAATACGTACGGCCCATACCATTAACCTGGTGGCATTCAAATGACTCCCACCCCCAACTAATATTGGCTACTTTTCACAAGTTTCCGATTTTGTACTCCAAGAAGGGCATTAAGGTTGTCATTTTTTTCAAAATAACACATCTTGAAAGAGTTTATGGGTCATGAGTGGCATAATTTAATTCCCTGCTCTCAATACAGTTCAGCTGGGGCAGTTCTAAAAAAGTATGGAGGGTTATATGGGCTATCAACGGGTGGTGGTTGCAATCACGACTACAGGCGGGATTGGGAGCAAAGGGGCTAAGTGCCAGTCTTTGTAAGAATCAGGCAATCTAGAAGAATTTCAAAGCATGACTGAACAAGCCAGTCGACCTTAATTTCCTATTTTGAAGGTACCTATATCCTGAGTTAGACATGATAGGTATTTCGTTTCTGCGTGTCTGGTAATTCCAGAAATCTCTAGATAATTTTTAGAACGATTGCAAAGTACGTAGTTAGCTCTCCATAATTGTTATTTTCTAGTGCATTTCAACCAAATTATATCATGAAACACCAGAACAGGAAAAGGAAACGAATATTATATTAAAAACACGATTGATTAATTAGTTGTAATGGCTTTGAAACTAGTTCTCATTAACGAGTGTCTCGATGGAGGGTACTTCATTTCTGTATTCTTTAATTTTTTAAGCCATTTTCTCTATTCTTTATAAATTTTGTCCATTATTCTCTATTCTTTTTATTTTAGCACCCCATTATTCTCTATTCTTAATTTTTTGGCCTATTTTTCTATATCCTTTATATTTTCTGCCCTTTATTCTGTCCATTATTTTCTAATCTGTAAACCTCATCCAGACCATCATTAACTGCAGTTACTCTTAATGTCTTTTTTTTTTTTTTTTGTCCTTCGTATTGATCAGTCATAGTCAATCCCACTTCAACTGATAAGGTTGTTCAAAATATATTTTATTTCAAAATCCTATATACACAGTCAATATAAAAAGTTGAATGTGGTTGCTTAATGAAGGAATTTTTCCATGTTGACCTTAAGGTGGTAACAAACACCTCGACTAAAATTAATTTGGCTCGTTCAATTTTCATAAAATTTTGACAAAATATTTACTTTGTAACTTTGACATAAATATAAAAAATTCAAAAAACTTGAACCGCACACTTTATCGGAAAAATTTCATTGACTATATAGCAGTTTGACAAACACTAATTTTGATCATCGAGAAGCTTGATATTTCCTTAACAATAGAACGTGATTTAAACGTTCAGCTGATTTTTACAGAGCTATCTCCCTGTAGTGTTATGTACCACCTTAATTAAACATAGTGGCAAAGGGAATTTACTAAAACACAAGTTACGTCAGTCGCAACCTATGCTGATCTATTGTTGTTCCTTTGATGTACACAACGCTCTGTAATGATGCAACCTCTTAAATCAGATATTTCCAAAGCTACAAATTATTATTTTTTAACTAGAGCTACTTACTTTCACAATGACCGCCAGAGTAACCATCTGGACAAATACATTTGTAATCGTTAACTTTGTTTCTGCATACACCATTGTTAAGACAAGGCTTAACGTCGCAAGGTGCATCTAAAATAGAAGAAAAATATTCGGCTCTTCTTAAGATTATACATGTATCTAAAGATTTCCCAAAAATTAGATAAAATGCATCACCAAAGAGAAGTTATTAAACAGGCACTTGTCTTTGAAAAAAAATTACCTATATAACGTCACAGTACCCAAATTGCACTGAGTACCCAAATTGCACCTATTCAACAGAATTCGCTGCGGAAATCTTACAAGTTTTCTTTGAGACTAAATAGTTTGTATTTTTATGATTTGACATTATACACGTCTTTCAACAAAGTTAAATATATTTAAATATACTCAAAACGTTCACAGTATATATCAACAGATGAAGCATTCACTGGAAAAAGTAAATCTACGAAAACGTCGCCATGCGACGTTCACAAAAAGTCATCTTTTAAAAATGAACAAATTAAATATGTTACAAGCATCCGTTTCTTAAAAAATGAATAGTAAACAAGGACTAATGTCAAATTGTTCTAAATATTTGAAGAAATAAAACAAAATATCTGTTATTCGATTTTTAAGGATGTGAATTTAAGCATGGATGCAATTTGGGCACTCCTCATTACAGAATCATGGATCGTTTGGAAGTCGGTTCAAACCCATTTTTCTATGATTCAATATGGATTCAAAATTAAATTGGTGGAACCATATAGTAAATAATGACACATCTACAAAATAAACACAGAATGGAAACTTTTGTCTGGATCATAAATAAACGTAGTTGAATAAACTGTCAAAATAGGTGCAATTTGGGTACCGTCACGTTAAAAGTATATAGGTAATTTTATTTCAGAGACAAGTGCCTGTGCGTTATTTGTCGAAATAAGCATTTATTCATCAAAACTAACAAGAAAAGTCTGTATCCGGCGTAGAAATTGCGCACACTGTATCACTTAATGTATGAGGGTCTGGATGGGGGTTCTTCATTTCTGTATTCTTAAATTTTTTAGACCATTTTCTCTATTCTTTATCAATTCTGTCTTTGTATATAAACTCCCCATTATTCTGTATTCTTCATTGTTTTGCCTTTTTTTCTCTATTCTTTATTTTTTGGCCATTTATTCATATATTCTGCACATTATTCTCTATTCTGTTAACCCCATCAACACCCTTACGTATGGTCACTGTCAAACTGTTGATAATTCAACTAACACCAAATCTGGACTCGTTATGAACATTGAAATGCGTTTGGTTTCACTCTATATATTTTTACGTCCACTATTCCATAGATATTTGGTTTTTTTTATTAGAATAATTTTATATCGTCTGAGAAAAAAATGTTTGCAAGTTTTTTCTTTTAAATATCTCCTCCAGTAAATTTGATCCGAACGAATTCAAAGTCAGGAAAAATTCGAAAAAAATTCGAACCGGTTTTGCCCTGGGAATCATGAAAATAAAATTTTTTATAAATAATTTAAAAGAAATACAGTTCTTTATGTTCTTTCGCTCTAGGTACACTCAGTTCGTTTGATATTGTACATTAATCGGCTTATCGGATGACTCCGCTTCTCTCCGTTAGATGTAGGTACGGAATCGGCCGAGTGCGGTGACGAATGATTGTACTTTTGACTAAAGTGGAAGTTTGAGACGTTGTTCGATTAAAATATATATTTTCTATTAAAGAGAGTGTTTAAAGAATAGATTGGACATGTTAAATTTAATGTCTTTTATTTCATTGTCTAGAACAAAATCGCCACGTACAAATCACATCAAAGACATTAACATTTAATTTTGTTACAGTCAATGCACCTCAAAAGATTCAGTATAAAAAACCGATTGGATTTCTGCAATGACCCAGATAAGAATGACTTGCCGGATTTATTTTTTTATTAATATTATATGTTTGATTACTGTTCGTGATAGTTATGTTTATGCACTCGAAAATCCAATATTTGAAATTCCTTCTATCATCAGGCATAACTATCTATACTTAAATTTGGCATAACGTTTTGGAGGTTTTTGTTTAAATGCTATTCATCTTCTTTATTTGACAGCGCTTTCAAAGTATACGAGGGTATGGATGGGGTTTACAGAATAGAGAATAATGGTAAAAAGTGAAGAATAAAGGGCAAACAAATAAAGAATAAAGAAAAAAAGGCCATAAAAATTAAGAATAGAGAATAATGGGATGTTAAAATCTAAAGAATAGAGAATAATGGGCAAAATAAATAAAGAATAGAAAAAAATGGTCTAAAAAATCAAAGACAAAAAAAGAAGGACCCCCTCCTCCAGACCCACGTATATAGTATCAAATCGCCACCGAGGAGTCTATCGGCGTACATAATTTTAAAGCTTGTATCTTTGATATAAAAATAAGGAGATGTGGTATGATTGCCAATGAGACAACTATCCACCAAAGTTCAAATGAAGTGGATGTAAACAGTCATAGTCAATCGTACGACCTTCAACAATGAGAAAAACCCATACCGTATGGTCGGCTATAAAAGGCCCAGACATAAAAAATATGAAACAATTCAATTGAGAAAACTAACGGCCTAATTTATAATAAAACAGTTTACGAAAAACAAATATAACAGACATGAACTAACGACAACCACTGAACTACAGGCTCCTGACCATTTTGTACCCAAATGTTGTTAAAAGCATTATCACACCTGGTATCCCGATCCGAAATCCGTGGAGCAATTACACAATACTGCAACATGGTGGGTAGGTAAAACATGGTGGGTAGGTAAAACATGGTGGGTAAGTAAAACATGGTGGGTAGGTAAAACATGGTGGGTAGGTAAAACATGGTGGGTAAGTAAAACATGGTGGGAAGGTAAAACATGGTGGGTAGGTAAAACATGGTGGGTAAGTTAATCATGGTGGGTAGGTAAAACATGGTGGATAGGTAAAACATGGTGGGTAGGTAAAACATGGTGGGTAAGTAAAACATGGTGGGTAGGTAAAACATGGTGGGTAGGTAAAATCTTGATCCGCTTCCCACGGAGCATACCGAAATCATGGTGGTAATCATGCCGTTAGTTCTTTCGTTTGTAGAAGTGTTATACATTTGTCATTCCGGGGCCTTTTATATCTTTACAATGCGGTATGGGTTTTGCTCATTTTTGAAGGCCGTGCGGTGGCCTTTATAATTGTTAACGTCATTTGGTCTCGGGTGAAGAGTTGTCTCATTGGAAATCATACCACATATTCTTATTTTCATATTTTGATGAATTCGGCTATTCTGTTAAGGTAATGTTTTGGTCATTTAGTATTTTTATACGTTTTAACACGTAACTGGTTTTCAAATGTCAAAGAGTGAGCGTTTCTGACGATGGAGGTAAACAAGCGCTTCGGACGCACGACATTTATAAGTATTTTTCGTTTTACAAATACATGTACGTATACGCGAGATGAGCAAAATTTTCTTATCAACTTTCAAAGACCTCTTTTATTACGAGTATTTAGGTGTCATTCTCCTGATCGTATTTCAGAGGGTCTGGATGGGGATTTACAGAAAAGAAAATAAAGGGCAAATAGTATATAGAAAAGAGCAAATGGACCAAAAAAATAAAGAATAGAGAATAATGAGGTACTAAAATATAAAGAATAGAGAAAATTGGGCAAAAAGTATAATTAAAAGAGAAAAAAGGCTTAAAAAAAAAGAATACAGAAATGAGAGACCCCCCCTCCAGACCCTCTTATCAGAGGAATTTGAGGGTACTTGAAGAACTTCCATGTCATTCTCTGATCGAATGAATATGCAACTTACCAAATTCTAGGCATATAGCATGATTGTACATAGCCGGGATGCATTTTTGTCCAACTTCACATGGGTTCGGGGTGCATCCATCTTTATCCTATAAATACACAAAATATTCTCTGCATTATGATATCTGTACCAACTTCCAGTTGATATCATATTATTTCATTCCAGAGAAGTAGTTCGAGATAAACTCTTTAATATCACTTGTAGATTTTTGTCAACCACTTACATACATATATTAAAAGATTCTAAATGTAACATAGATATTAATCTGTCGACACGAATGCTTAAAATGTATTGATGAAACTGCCTATTACAAACGCTTAGCTGACTTAAAAAGTTATCCCTCTTTCATCCATTTTGACCCTTAAAGGTTTATCGTTTTTTGAATGTTGCGTTTATAACATTTTAAACTCTACCAATTACATTCTAGCTCGTACATGTATATACTATCTTTAAAAAAATGTGTTCGAGAGCTTATTACATTGTAATCAGCACTTTAGTGTTGACATGAAATATTGAATTTTTTTTTTTTTTGTAGATTATCTCACGTTACTGTTGTATAAAATGTTGAATTGTTTGAAACACTAAGGTTTGTTTTTATACCTTATTTGTCTTATGAAGACGAAACGTGTGTATGGCGTACAAAATAAGATGCTTTTGGTGAGTATTTTCAATATTTCAAAATGTTCCGGAAATGAAACATTAGGGAGCTACCATTTGATTTTGATGGGGGGGGGGGGGGGGGGCTAGGATGAAATTTGAAAAAAATTGGCAGGACAGGAGGTTTGAGTAAACAAAAAGGCAGGATGAGATTATTTGCCAAAAAAAAGGCAGGATGACAATTTATTTAAAAAAAAAAGTCAGGACCGAATAGAGTGAAAAATAAAAAGGCAGGACCGAATAGAGGGAAAAATAAAAAGGCAGGACAAAATTTTTCATCCTAGCCCCCCCATAAAAATCAAATGGTAGCTCCCTTACACACTCGTACAGAAGAGGTATGAAAAAGGGCCACTATTTTTATTTTGGTATTTGGAATGGTAATGAAAAAAAAAGTTATAACCTTTCAGAATTACTTAGTCTAGTATGTTTATTTTATTGATAAATGATTAGGAAAATATATTCCGATTACTCCAGTTAAAAAATTGTACTTTAAACACTGAGATGGTGAGTTCGAACCCTGCTTCGGCAAGGTGCGTTCGACTCCGATCTTAATTTGCTAGGATTGCCAATTAGAGAAGGTCGATAGTTTTCTTCAGCTTCCATCACCAATAAAAACTGTCCGCCATTAAAAAGCCAAGTGTGCTAAAGGCAGCGTTACAATCATATCTCATTTCTTATTTTTATATTTTCAGTATATTGTACTTCCATGTCATTTGAACTCTGACGTATAGTTGTGTCGTTGGCAAGTATACCAATCTCTTTATTTTGATATTAATTAAAACATAAATCGATCCATCAAAAAATGTTACCTGTAATGTCACGGTAACCGCCGTCATAAATATTTCAAAATTGTCATAGACTTTAATACAATTTGAAATTTGATATCATATTAAATACATGTATAAGCAAAAACCTTACCCGAAAAGATATACAGCATATACGTTATATATAAGAGGGTGTGTATGGGGTTTACAGAATGTGCAGAATAAAGGGCAAAAAAAAGAATTATTTAGAGAAAAATAGGCAAAAAAAAAAAGAATAGAGAATAATGGGGTGCTTAAATATAAAGAATAGAGAATAACAGGCATAACTGTTAATGAATAGTGAAAAATTAAAGAATGCAGAATTAAAGGACCCCCTACCCCTTCTTTGATTTGTTTTACATTTTGTCTAACCTGGAATCCTGATGAAATATTTTCGATTTCGCAAGCTTCAATTCAAATATATTCGAACCGGAAGTCCGCTTACGGTGTTGAGAATATTGTTTCAGGATCCCAAATTAACGTTTTTTTCATGTCGGAGTGTTGTTGCATTGGCAATCATTCCATATTTACTTATTTTTAAATGTAAGGCAAAATTCTAAATTAAAAATAAACACAATTTTATCATAGATACCGGAATTAAAAATGTGTACGCTAAACGCGCATTTCGTCTACACAAGACTCATCAGTGACGCAAAAATCGCCGAATATATACAGGAGATTAGTAGCCGGTGCACATCTAAAAGATTTTGAATGACGAAAAGATACTTTTTTCATTTTACCAATAAACTGGATTTTATTTCATCAACATCAGCTATGAGGCGTCAGAGTTAACAACACAAATGTTATTTGTAGGAAATTCCAATTTCTGATTTATAAAAAAATGACAAAAAATAGCCGACAATTTGGCTAAATAATTTAGATAGTGCGTAAAACTCGTTAACTTTACTAAAATGAAATGGACTCAAAAATGGTAGATATTAAAACAAAAACAAAACAACGAAAAAGAGAAGCAACCACAGAATACAATTTAGCCTTCAGTGCTAGCGAACGTTCCACGACCAATGTAAGAATTTCACAACAACAAGAATTTAATTTAAATGTATTTGGATTAGTGAAATGCCTTCATATCCTATAAACAGAGGGAAGCAAAAAAATATCTTTAAAAAATAAGAATCATAAATGAGAACAACTTACCTTTCTCCAACCACCTATCTCTGTATAATAGGCGCCGTCCATATGCACACTTGTGTCACCCGGATAGGAAACCGCCAGCAATTCGCATTCTAATTTATGTCTGTTGAAATTTACTGCGTTGCATTCCTTGTACAGCATACAGTCACTTATGCACATCAATGGACCAACATTGTTATAGGCCAAGATAACATGCGAGTCACTATATTTGTTTTTAGTGAACGAATAACCAGTTATGTTCCGTCGAATTCCCTCACTAGTGTTAATAATCAACAGTGAAATAAAAATTTCAGAAAATTTTACCAACATTGTATCGGTCAATTCAGTGTTATTATCTTAACCTATTTCTTCACGCGGAATTGTATCATGAATAAATGTATATTTTTTTACTAGATGAGGTTGTGTTGATTACAACGGTCTCATTGTGTGTAAAAATGTAACTGCCTTGTTTTATTCGTGTTTTTATATAAAGCCTGTTCAATTTGACTTTAAAATGTAATACAAAGCGAAGTTTTCCGTGACTTACATAATATTATTTTAAACCAATAGCAAGAGTTTAGCTGAAACTACTGTTCATTGTTATTTATAGGCCAACCGTTTCAATATTTCCAGGAATTTTATTTAAAGCTAAGGTGTGTTATTAGACATGACAGAAAGTCAATAAAAAACCGAATGCATTTATTTGCTCTAAATTCTTGTTTTTTAGCTTCTCTTTTAGAAAAAGAGATGTTCTGTTGTTAGATGTTGGTGTATGTGTGTGTGTGTTGGTTGTTGGGGAGGGGGAGAGGGTGGTTTTGTGATCTCTTGAAAGGGAGACAGTATATCTGACTCTAACTTTTGATGAAAAGAATCGATCTGAACTTTTTAGGAGGAAATAGAAAAAAATCATTTTCACGTTAACTCTTTTATTATTTTTCTTATCCCCATTCAAGGAGTCAGCACTTTTGTAGTGACAGGAAATATCATCGATTGTTAATTTTTGTTAATTTACTGTTTATAAAATGTTGAAATATTCGAAAGCCTGAGGTTTTTCTACTTCAACTTTTCGGAATATTTAGTTAACAAGGCTCTTTAACTTCGTATTTGACCTCCAAACTGTTTTGAATCGAGCGTCACTGCATGATTAGTCTTGTTTAGACGAAATTTAAGGCCTGGTATCTATGATAAGTTTTTATCTTATGACCGACCGTGCGAGGGCTTACCAGCCAGTCAAGGCAGTTGAACACCACCCAGTCAATCAATCTTATAATGAATAAGTACAACAAAATCATTTTTAAATAATCTTGTTTCAAAAGGTTCAAAAAATGTTTACGATGCTCAATCCCGACCCCCGCATCCTATTAACAAGTGATTGGTGCTTTTAATAAAAGAATAGGGGAACGTGTCAAAGAGAAAACAACCCGACCAAAAGAGCAGAAAACAGCACAAGGCCACAAATGGGTCTTCAACGCAGCGAGAAAATCCTACACCCGGATGTAAGAAGGTCTGGATGGGGGTCATTCATTTCCGTTTTTACAATTCTATGAGTTAATTTTCTATATTCTTTATATTGTAGCACCCTATTATTCTCTTTTCTATATTTTTTTGGGCTATTTTTCTCTCTATTCTTTATATTGTAGCACCCTATTATTCTCTTTTCTATATTTTTTTGGGCTATTTTTCTCTCTATTCTTTATATTTTCTGCCCTTTATTCTGCACTTTTCCCCCATTATTCTCTATATATTCTATCAACCCCATCCAGACCCTCATATCTATATCTGATGTCAGAAACCATGTTGTTTATGAATTTTTAAAGAGGTTATATGTAGATCAAGGTATAAGGACATTAATCTTGAAAATGAGAAACGAAAGATACCAAGAAGGGACATTCAAACTTATAAGTCGAAAACAAACTGACAATGCCATGACAAAAAAACGAAAAACAACCAAAAGACAAACAACAGATTACAAAACACAACATTAAAAACTAAATCTGAGCCACACGAACCTCAACAAAAACTGTGTGTAAAGGGGGAGCGGATCTTAGGTGCAAACCCGGGGATAAGTCCTATCCGCTAGGTCACATTTGAGGAAAAGAGGTTAGATGTGTGACGTGGTTAAGACAATTGGAACATCACCAAATGATACTTTTGTGCATCCACTGACATTAATGTATTCTAAGTTTCTCAGGTAATAAGTAACCGTATCAAATAAAAATGTTCATTTCTGGAATACAAAATAAAATTGTCCTATTGGATAATTAAGTTGATCTTTTACACATTTTACGTACCTTTGTAAATCAACGAAAAGCTACGACTAATCTTTCAATGTTACCTAAATTATTTTGCACCGAATTTATCCTCATATGCAACTTATACTTTTTGGTGAAGTTCGTGTTTCTCAATCTTTGGTTTTCTATGTTGGGTTTTGTATACTGTTGTTTGTCTTTTGGCCGTTTTTAGTTTTTTGCCATGTTATTGTCAGTTTGTGTTCGACTATTAAAGTTTGAATGACCCTTTGTTATCTTTCGCCTCTCTTTTATAAACCATTTATGTTTTCTAAATGGACAACATTAATCTTGGTACATATTCTGGTTTTTTTTAGCTAAGCACCTAAGTTCGGAGCATTCGGGATAAAAGCAAAAAAATGGCAAGCTCAGATTCACAACAAAACGGTCCGGATAGATAACAAAATCCGTCCTTTAGTTCGTACCGCGTGAGCTTAAACTTAATACTAGTATAAAAATAAGGAGATGCGGCATGATTGCCAATGAGACAACTATCCACCAAAGTTCAAATAAAGTGGATGTAAGCAATTATAGGCAACCGTATGGCCTTTAACAATGAGAAAAATCCATAGCATATAGTCGACAATAAAAGGCCCCGACATCAAAAATATGAAACAATTCAATTGAGCAAACTAACGCTTAATTTATAACAAAACAGTTTACGAAAAACAAATATGACAGACACGAACGAACCAACAATAACCACTGAACTACTAACTAGTCTGCTTGTGCCTCCCCCTCCCCCTAACCTGGGACACTGGTGAAACAGTACAACATAAGAACAAAATATAAAAAATCAGTTGAAAAGGGCTTAACTCATCAGATCCGATGTAAATCAGAAAACATCTAACGAAAACACAGACCGGAATAAGTCAGTGTAAAAATATGAATCGTGTACTAATCTTTAACCATTTGTATTAGTTAATAACATGAATATGAATGTTACACTTTAGATTGGACATTATGCATCAAATTTACGAAAGAAACAAATATCTTAAATCTAAATATTAGTGGTGATACACTGTATTTTGTTCTGTCAAAAGTGGTGATACACTGTGTTTTGTTCTATCAATAGTGGTGATACACTGTATTTTGTTCTATCAATAATGGTGATACACTGTATTTTGTTCTGTCAAAAGTGGTGATACACTGTGTTTTGTTCTATCAATAGTGGTGATACACTGTATTTTGTTCTATCAAAAGTGGTGATACACTGTATTTTGTTCTTTCAATAATGGTGATACACTGTATTTTGTTCTATCAATAATGGTGATACACTGTATTTTGTTCTATCAATAGTGGTGATACACTGTATTTTGTTCTATCAATAATGGTGATACACTGTATTTTGTTCTATCAATAGTGGTGATACACTGTATTTTGTTCTATCAATAATGGTGATACACTGTGTTTTGTTCTATCAATAGTGGTGATACACTGTATTTTGTTCTATCAATAATGGTGATACACTGTATTTTGTTCTATCAATAGTGGCGATACACTGTATTTTGTTCCATCAATAGTACTTCTTTGACATCAATGAGGGTGGTAAAGAGCTATTTTCGATCAACATGTTTTCAATTTTTATTTCACGTGTTTTTGTGCTATTTCTATTTCACCGTGTTTCGTGCATAATGGTGACATGCAACGTGCAAACTATTTTAATTATTTTTCGTTCATCGCGAAATGGCAATTTTATATTCATTTGTCCATGCACATAATATATAACACAATAATATGGAATTCTACAAAAAGTGCTCATTCATTTGCTTTGTTTGGAAACAAAATAGATATGAAAGTCAATATCAAAGGACTAATCATTCAACATTTCGTGATCTGCATTTCTAAAAGCCACTGGTACAATATTATAGCCATTCTACACCAAGTACCCAATTGAACCCATGTATGTAGGAAAAATAAAAAGGGAAATCCTACAAGTTTAAACAATTTGTATTTTTATGATTTGCACATATTTCAACATAGCTAAATATATTCTTATATGATTTGGATATTAGGGAATACGGCGTTGGTCGAGAGGGCTTCCGATAGTTGCTCTTGAAGTTATTTATTTTTGGATAGACGACGTTGACGGAACTACTTTTTGTATCCAATGTAAACAAGATGGCGGCGAAAATAATACAAACCGGCTCGACGTTAAAAATATTTATTTTCGCTTATCGTTAAATTATATAATAGCACTAAACATTCATTTGAATGTTAATAAGATATTTCTGTAGTTTATTTTTTATCAGATAGCAAATTTTATGGAGTACATTTTTTTTGCGTTAATTAAAAAATATATTCTAGCGCCAGGTCAATTCAATGACACAAATATACAATTTACGTGTGATAGAGGTTTTGAGTGGGGAAATTAAATTCCTTATCTCCAATTTTAAAGAATTTTAAGGATTAAACGCAATCTTAAAGGAATTTATTGGTGTATAAACTGGACCAAGTCACTCACAAACAAATCATAAATGTCCGTTTGTGAGTGAGTTGGTCCAGTTTATATACCAATAAATTCCTTTAAAAAGGCGTTAAATGCTATAATATACACAAAACGGTCACAGTATGTATCAATAGAAGAAGTATTCAGTGAAAAGGATAATTTACGGAAACGTCGCCATGCGACGTCCACAAAAAGTCAACTTTTAGAAATGAGCAGTTAGAATATGTCACGTACAGGCATCAATTCTTTGAAAAACGAATAGAAAGCATGTAATTTGTCAAATTGTTCAAATTATTAGGAGAAATGAAAAAAAAACATAAGAGTTATTCGATTTCTACGGATGTGAATTTATGCATGGATTGGATGCAATTTGGGTACTCTTCATAATTACATGAATATGCATGTAACACTTTACACTGGACACTATGCATCAAGAACAATGTGTTTAGTTAATTACATGAATATGCATGTAATACTTTACACTGGACATTATATGCATCAAACGTCCAAACGAAGCAAATATTGGAGATTTAATCAGCAGTAGTGACACGAAGACAATACTCGTACATTGTAGGAAAATATATATTTTATTAAAGAGATGAAAGAGAGGCTCGCCGAGCTTTTCTCCTGTTTCGTAGCGAGTACATTAAATATTTCCTACAATGTACCAGTATTTTTTTATGCTGCTATTTA